GCTGGCCAGCTAATAAAGGCTCCAAAAATCCAAACATAAACTCTGGTGGTCGTCTGTCGCGGGTCACCCCAGAACACTCGGCAAATCTTTAATCACGACTGAGTCAAAGCACATTGCAGGTGGGAGTGTAACATGACTTATAGTTCAAAACAGCAGTACCCAAAAATAAAAAATAAAAATTCTACAGTTTGTCCTGCCTTATTTACAATGGTTTGGATGAACAGCCCGAGGTTAGCATGTGATGCCTTTTTAGTAATTGGCCTGACAAGAGGTTTGTTTTGCCTGGTACCTGTGATAACTGAACAGGCATTGTCTTCCTGGAAAAATTGGGTGGGCTCAGCTCTTAACTTCCAACCAGGACATTATTTCTACTCCTTTCACTTTACTTGCTTAACATACTGAAAAGTGAGGTCAAGTGGACATTTTGTATCATTTCCTGCCTCTCTCTGCCCCAGGGTAACCTTTATCATCACAAACAAGGACAAAGACAGCAACTAATAACACATAGTCAGCTCCGATCAATGTTAAAACCAAAGGCCAGGCTGTCTGGGGGCTTGCTGAGAACCCGGTGGGATCTTTTTCCCTTACAGTCGCTTAGCTCTCATTAACCTTCAGTGAGCTGTGCATCTACCGCAGCTGGGCGATCACAGGCGAACTCGCACGCTGGCTCTTGGGGACAGGGTAGAATCCCGGCCTGACTTGTTCCCAAGTCCTTATAGCTCTCTACCTCAGATTGCTTCTCTTGGCATAATTATTGGCTACTGAATCAAGGCAGTGCTTCTGATGGGTCCTCTCACCTCTATCGACTTTACACCATTCTGCTCCCCATCTGAGGTTTTGGTTGCGTCAGTCTGGCCACCTCAAACACTCTGGCCATAAGCGAGAGACAGAAAGTAAATAAAAGATCTCCCAGCAACCAAAACAATGATCACATGCTGTAGGCTGGATTCACACACTCAAATGTGTACAGGCAGGCAGATAAGATAAAAAGTAAGTGAAGCTGGTTGGAGGGGAGGAAAAACAGGGCTAGTGAGTTCACAAGTGGCAGCTAATGCTTGGCCATGGTGTCATGGATGTGGAGGAAGAGTGGGGACCCTGGTGAAGAGCTCTGCCCACCTAAAGCATGCAGCTCCCTCTCAACCTTAGAGATTAATCCATGCTGCACCATGAACCCCATGTTCAACATCTCTGGGTTTAAGCACCAAAGGTTTAAACATGTCTTGAGGTTTAGCCAACTAACTCTTAGTTTAGGCGCAACCTTAAACTTTCTCAGACCTATACAGGTAAGAAGCCACAGATTAGAAGAGAGATGCAGAACTGGTGGACTCCGGCTCCTTATTGTCAGCAGTAGGTGATAGACTGGGAATGAAATAGGTCCCAAAAAAACTCCACAAGCAAATCAGCGCAAGGTCATTCAATGACAAGATGACAAGCATTTATTTGTACAGCTGACTCACCATTTTATTACCGTTGATCAGTATCTCTAGCATTTGTAACTGTCAAATAAGTTAACATCTATGCAAGGGCTGGAAGACTCAATCAGTGCAAACACTGGGCCAACCAGACCTTCTTTGAAAACAGAGTCCTAACATTTAGTGAAACAGAAATATAAATGTATTAATAGATCTCTTCTACATATATCCTGCATATTCTATTTTAAAAGACATTTCTGAAATGTTTATTCAAAATAGTCGTTCTTTAACAAACCATTTTGTGCACAAAAGGGTTGTCTAGAAAATTCACAATTATGGC